GTCTTTAAAGAAAACAAGAATATTATTAAGATTCAATTAAGATATTTGATATGTGAAATATAAAATGACATACCTTTTTTATAAAATTAAAAATCAGTAGATTTACTTGAGATTTAATTTGCTTTAATCACAAATATTACCAATAAGGAATATTTTATTAATTATGTATTAAATTCTATTCCCGAGTACATGGTACATCTATTTCATAACATTCCATCGCGAACGAAAGCTTATCTGATCTTTGATCATATTATAACTGGATATAGGAAAAGGTACAACTTTCTCTTTCAGCGAATGAAATGAAAGACATTCATAGGAAAGATATTTAGACACTTTTCATCCGAAACGAAATCTTAAACTTTGTATATTTGACTTCCAACCGTCAAAAGTGTAAAGACAAATTTACCCCCACTATTTGATCCACTTCGGTTATGAATTCAATCTATTTGATCGTGCATTATATACAATTCCTCAAACATAAATCTTTCACTAGTTTGACAAGAAACATTTCTAAAGGAATGAATGGTTTGTGGAAAATCAATTTCTGTCGAACAAATTTTTCCAACTGTTTGGTAAAATTCTAAATGCTCAATATAAATACATATTAGGATTTTCTTTGATTGCTTTTTTAAAATTAAAATTTACAATAAAGTATCCCGTTTAATGTTTGAGCAAAAAGAAATCCGAAAATGTAAATTTTAATCTTGGATAAAATAAAATATTGTCATTATTTTTACTTTTAAATTATAAAAAAAACTCATTTCTTTGCGATGACACTTGAACATGCATTGCAGAAGAACAGGAACCTCGGGGCAAATGGTATTACAAAAAGAAGCTTGGAAATGCCATGCGTTTTCAGTAATCCGATTCAAAACTGTATTCTATTTCTAGAAAAAAAAGTTCTTTGGACCGTATGATGCCCTTAAACCCCTGATATACGAATGATAATATATACGAAAATTACCTTGCTCAAAGCGTCTTAAAATTCCAGTGAAATATATCCAATAAGCATTAAAAATCTAAAATACCCCTATTGTAAGTTAGTTCATGCCGTTATCTGTTCCCAGTTTACACGTAATTCCATTTCTGTCTTTCCCACTTCAAATATTGACGAATCTTCACATTTCGTCAAACCGCTTTAATCCCACCGATTTAGGAATCGATTGTTTTTGTAGATTTATAGATTTGTCTGGTATTACTCGATAACCTGTTCTGTAATAAATCATTCTCCATGTGACGTATCAAACTAGCTTATATTGTATTTCATCATGACAAATTGTTCACAATGCACTCGAAATCTTACGACCAGGTATCAATGTTTGGAATAAAAAAAATGCACTTATTCAAATAAACGGATTTGTTTATATACATAACAAGTACATGGTTATTTGGCCTTGTTGTGTAATATTCATAAAAAAAACGTTATTAAAACTGATTCCGTTTTAAAACAACGACAACAAAACAAAAAATTAATGAAATAATAAATAAACAATTGAAACTTTGTCTGGATTCTTATTGATAATATCAATTACAAAATTAAATCAAACGGTTTTTCCACTTCAAATGGAGCGCTGCGACGAACTCTGCACGTCTTGATACTGGAAGCTCTTACGCTTATGCTTTATTCGTAGAAATGGAACGTTCGTATTACGTTTATACATAATAACGATAAATATAAAGAGAGAACATTAGAAATAAAAGTGTAATTGCAAATTTCTTCGAATTCATTGAACAGCCTTAGTATATATTCAAAGCATACTAAGGAATAAACAACGACGCACGGACCTAAAACTGGCGACGAATTGCTCGACATTAAAATCATGTTTTCTTTATATTCAAGTTTAATCTATCTAAAGTATTCACAACTAATTCAGCATTCAACATGCCTTTCTATTGATCTTTAAAACCATGATAAAATGTTTCCAACCTGTTGCTTTCTTTTAGCAACGTTTGTTTTTATTGTTGGTTTTTGCCATATTTTCTAGGCGCCTTGACAACAATTTGTATTGAGGCAGAAAGGAATGGTTAAAACTGTAAGTTATCAAAATGATAGTTATCTCTGATCATAATGGTAAACTATAGCTATCTGTGATGAATAAATATTTTTTATCTGTAATTGAATTTAAATTGACTAAATGATAAATTTCTAGTTGATAAATGATAAAAATTGCAACTGTCTTTATTCAATGATAAAAATGTAGTTCTATATGATAAATGATAAAATTGTAATTATCTGTGTTCAATGATAAAGATGTAATTACAACAGTACATATCTGTGTTGATTAATTAAATTGTAATTATCTGTGATGAATGATAAAGTGTAATTATATGTGATGAATGATGAAATTGTAATTATCTGCCATGAATGATAAAATTTCAATTATCTTTGATAAATGATAAAATTGTAATTATCTGTGATTAATGATAAAATTGTACTTGACTTTGATGAATAATAAAAGTGTAATTATCTGTGATGAATGATAAAATTGCAATTATCAGCGATGAATGATAACATTGTACTTGTCTTTGATGAATAATAAAATTGTAATTATTTATGATGAATGATAAAATTGTAATTATCTGTGATGAATAATAAAATTGTACTTATCTGTGATGAATAATGAAATTGTAATTATCTGTGATGAATGATGAAAGTGACGTATAATGAAATTGTCATTATCTGTGATGAATAATAAAATTGTACTTATCTGTGACGAATAATGAAATTGTAATTATCTGTGATGAATGATGAAAGTGACGTATAATGAAATTGTCATTATCTGTGATGAATAATAAAATTGTACTTATCTGTGATGAATAATGAAATTGTAATTATCTGTGATGAATGATGAAAGTGACGTATAATGAAATTGTCATTATCTGTGATGAATAATAAAATTGTACTTATCTGTGAAGAATAATGAAATTGTAATTATCTGTGATGACTAATGAAATTGAACTTATTTGTAATGAATGATAAAATTGTAATTATCTGTAATGAATGATAAATTTGTACCAATCTGTAATGAATGATAAACTTGTACTGATCTGTGATGAATGATAAAATTGTAATTATCTGTAATGAATGATGCAATTGTAATTATCTGTGATGTAAAATTGTAATTATCTGTGATGAATGATGAAATTGTAATTATCTGTGATGAGTAATAAAATTGTACCTATCTTTGATGAATGATAAAATGGTAAGTGTAATAATCTGTTATGAATGATGAAATTGTATTTATCTGTAATGGATAATGAAATTGTAATTATCTCTGATGAATAATAAAGTTGAAATTATCTCTGATGAATGATAAAATTGTACTTATCTTTGATGAATAATAAAAGTGTCCGTTTCTGCGATATATAATAAAATTGTAATTATCTGTCCTGTTTTATAAAACAGTAATTTTCTGTAATGTTTAATAAAATTGTAATTATCTGTGATGATTTAAAAATTGTGGTAACCTTATCTTAATGAATTATAACATCGTACTTATCTGAGATTAATGATAAAAACTTAGTTGTATGTAATACACATGATACAATTTTAGTTATATGTGATGTATGATAAAATTCTAGCTATATACGAGACAATTGTTTTAGTTATATGTGATACATGATAAAATTGTTGTTGTTGTTTTTCTTACTGAAATATAAATAGAACAATGTATTGAAGCTAAACATATCTATATTTTTGTTTGTTATGTATGACATTTTCATAAATAATCAAGGTTTTTGCATGAAAACAATTTACTTTTTATTTTAAATAATATACATTATAAAGAAGTATTACCTTTATTGTAATCCTCTGATCAGATCGACCTTTGAGATTTTTCTTATCAAATAAGTTAGTTCAATTCATTATATGCATGTATTTTAAACTTAAGTTGTAAGCGTTCGCAGTTAGTCTTAATTTTCACATCTCACTTTTAAATTAAAACCAACCAGATTATGTTTAAAACTTTAACCTGGTTAGTTCGGGTTGGTTTAAATGGCGTGTGTGAAAAACAAATATAGTTATACGCCATTATTGTAAAGATTTTAACAATGTAAATATTTACTTATAACTTTTGAAATATATTGGTAAGATATGTGTCCTTTCATTGGAGGCTTTATTGATGTTACTTCGCATACATACCAACCAATTCTTTAGTTAATAATAACAAATTGATATCGGTGTAGGGTTTTTATTTCATTAAGTTAATATAGGCCAGTCTTTTTGTGGCATTTACACAAACTTGCTTTCTATTTACATCTAATTTGCATTTTTAATTTGGTGAGAGTGAACAGTTCATACTAGAGAGAGCGAGAAATAAATACGTGTTAGATAAATGTCCATTGTAAATAAATGTCGAGTGTTCGTCGGCAACAACTTATTTTGGTTTATTGAAAATATGGTCAATTAAGATAATAATAATGATAATACTTGAAGCAACAGATAGGGTGATGACGATAATAAAAATGATGACGATAAAGATAATAGTTATCATTATAATTATTAAAGAAATAGGACTAAATAGGTCCTAATAATAATTATGATGATAGAAATATTAGATCCTAACAAACTAAACGAAAGCTGGAGGAAATAAATAAACTCTTAATAATGTTAAAGTTATACATACATGTATGGAATCCAAAATTTATGTATATAGATGTTTCGAGTATACATGTTTTGCTTCGCTTATCCATTCACAAATCGTCTGCCAAATAAGTTTCATGGTTCCAATATTTGTGTAATTGTTTTATATGATTTAATTACAAAATTCTCCGCTCTATATGTTAACAATGGTAACATAATCCAACCAATTAGATACTTGAAAGATTAAACGTCGTATCAAATAATTCCTTGGATATCTTATTTCACGCTGATAGAATATTTTGTTAACTTTATAAACAATTGTATACATGTATAAACTTGAAAATAAAAATCGTTAAACATCTAAAAGTAATTTTTTGGTTTATATTTGAAAGTTAAGGGAAAATTTTTCAATTTTTACCTTTCTGTGGCTATTCTATATCCATTTAAGATTGTTTTCCTGTATTTTGTACAGATATTCCTATTCAAACACAATATGACTTGTCATTTTTGATTGAAAGATCAGTGTACTCGTTGTTATGGGTTAAATATGTTGTGTGTTCGTTATAATACACCGGTAGATTATCATCTTATCGGCTATAGTCAAGGCAGACTACTCTTGCCAAAACCTACCTTTAAAAAAAAGTAAATATTATTCCCCTTGTTATAAGACAAAAACCAATCAAATCGTTTAAAATGTTTATTTTTTTCCCCTATTTTCTTTATTGATTTCGTTTTTGCTTTTTGAAATGTAAATGAACATCAGCTAAAACGTTAATTAAATCAAATAAGTCAATAATATTATTATCATTTTCTAATGAGAGGTCGCTCGATACAGGTTGTTATTTGACTACGATTTGCACTTTTTGCAGTTGTAAACATTTTACAAGACTTGACAACGTGTCATTTTCGAAATAAGAGAAACATGATCAAATACGATCCGCTGTAATTTCCGCCCATTAGATAAGCTTCCGTTACAACAAATCGGTTAACAAGTAAAATGCCAACCGTCTAATTTCAAAATAGCTAAAAAAAATCCCTTCCTGTTGAATCAAAGTCTAGAAAATTGACAGCTATTTACACATTAAATGGCGCTAACTCAAAAGCCAAACAAATCCAACTAGAACTATCACTAAATGTGATTAATACCCCCACAAGACTGCTTCGGAAATGAGGATGTTACTAGTAACAGAATACCTTGTAAAAGAATTGAAATATAGAGTTATGGTTGTGGGCAATTAAAGATAGTTGTGATTCTTATATGTTGCATTTCCTTTCAATGTGGTTGGCCATTGATGAAGTTTAAATGAATTACTCTGTAATAAGTCCTGAAAGACAAAGAAAAGGAACAAAGGGCAATAACTCTATAAATACTGAAGATAGAGTTATAGTTCTTGTGCACTGCACTTCCTCTTATTGTGCTTTACCATTGTATGAAGTCGTTTTGAATTCCAACCAGAACGTTTTAAGTTATGCTCCTGACAAGGAAAAGTATCAAAGGGCATTAACTCTGTATTTTGTCAAAATGAAGTTATGGCTCTTGTGCACTGCACTTCCTTTTAATGTCCTTGACAATTGTATGAAGTTGTTTTGAATTCCAACCAGTAGTTTTCAAGTTATGCCCCGAACAAGGAAAAGTAACAAAGGGCAATAACTCTGTAATTAGTCAAGATAGAGTTATGGTTCTTATGCACTGCACTTTCTCTCAATGTGCTTGACCATTGTATGTAGTTATATTGAATTCCAACCATAAGTCTTGAAGTTATGGTCCGGACAAAAAAAATCAATGGAAAAGTAACAAAGGGCAATAACTCTGTAATTACTTTGGATATAGTTATGGTTCTTGTGCACTGCACTTCCCCTTATTGTGTTTGACAATTGTATGAAGTTGTTTTGAATTCCAACCAGTTGTTTTCAAGTTATGCCCCGGACAAGCAAAAGTAACAAAGGGCAATAACTCTGTAATTAGTCAAGATAGAGTTATGGATCTTGTGCACTGCACTTCCTCTCAATGTGCTTGACCATTGTATGTAGTTATATTAAATTCAAACTATTAGTCTTCAAGTTATGGTCCGGACAAAAAAAAGCAATGGAAAAGCAGCAAAGGGCAATAACTCTGTAATTACTTTAGATAGAGTTATGGTTCTTGTGCACTGCACTTCCCCTTTTTGTGTTTGACAATTGAATGAAGTTGTTTTGGATTTCAACCAGTAGTTTTCAAGTTATGCCCCGGACAAGGAAAAGTAACAAAGGGCAATAACTCTGTAATTAGTCAAGATAGAGTTATGGATCTTGTGCACTGCACTTCCTCTCAATGTGCTTGACCATTGTATGTAGTTATATTAAATTCAAACTATTAGTCTTCAAGTTATGGTCCGGACAAAAAATCAAAGTGCTGCAGCACTGAATGCGACGGACATGCAACCGGAGAGACATTAAGGCTTTTTTTTTAGAAAAAAAAAAAAAAAAAAACACAAAAGATATAACAGAGAAAATTTGTTCCATACAAGTTCGAGATTTGTAGAGCAATATATTTTATGTGTCCCAATCTGATATAATACAGATTTTCTACTTATACAGAATGAAATTTATGCCTAAAAACTCTGGTCAAACTTGTAAATCAGTGTCCTTATCGATTTAAATTATGTAAATAGAAAAAAAACTGTCAACGAAATATTTCTAAAATAAAACCATGCAAATTAACTTCAAGCATAAGTACATTATACATGTGATAATGTTATTTAGAATTGCTTCGTGTTATATCATAGTGGGCATATAGAAAATAAAATATAAGTCATTTGTATTTTTATTTCTCTTGGATATGTCTCATTAAAAATATTTTTGGTTAAAATCATCAGCAATTAAAAGTGTATTTTTTAGATTTTTTTATTTACAAGGTAAATATGTAGAGGCCAGAGCACATCGTTTTTATTTTAATTTAAATGTCACTTAAGCTGTCCTTTTCAATTTCACACTAAATTCCATTTTCAACTTGTTTGCTTCTTACAATTGTAAGTATTGCATGTAAGCAAAGTAAGTATCCGCTGGTTTATTACATGTATAATGTGTACTCCCTAATCGCCTGCAGCTGGTGAAGCATAATCTATTTTTAGAATAGCGAATGTTAACTCATATCGTGACCTAGAAAAATATGTAAACAAACCACAAGAATCGGAAGTAGAACTGATATTATAACTTCATTCAATAAAGATTACCATGAAAGACTACATGGTAGTAAAGTGTTGAAAAAACTCTCTTGTTACATGCATTTTCAAAAATAGATAATTATACTAACCATTATACTGTATCTAATTTATTAATAACTGCTGAATATTCAGCTAAACACGCGGTATGAGTCACGAAAATAGTTATTCTTTTATTAATGCGCGAGTTATTCTAGAGTCACGAAAAACTTTTGATTTGTTAATAATAATGTTTTGTATAATGTAGAAATATTTATTTCCTACTAATAATTTCTTGGAACTCAGAGCTTACACCTTTATTATAGTATAATTTGCTGTCCTACTTTTTCGACAGCTGTAAATCGTTTCGGCAGTAATTTGCGTATTGCGCAATAATACTACGGGACTACAACGTTTGTATCAATCAAATACGTTCATATTTTAACTAGGATAACTTAATTTGAAATTGAAAAGGCTAAATATGGAAGATTTTAAGATATCCCGACAAAGTATGTGAGTTTTAAAGGATCAAATTCATGTACTATTTCATGGGCTGTTATTCGGTTGAGGACACTGCGCGATTGTAGCAGACGAAATCCCATGTGTAGATGACTTAGCTCTGAACGCGCCTGAGGGCGCGTCCGTCGCAAAAAGCAATGGAAAAGCAACAAAGGGAAAAAAACTCTGTAACTACTTTAGATAGAGTTATGGTTCTTGTGCACTGCACTTCCCCTTATTGTGTTTGACAATTATATGAAGTTGCTTTGAATTCCAACCAGTAGTTTTCAAGTTATGCCCCGTACAAGGAAAAGTAACAAAGGGCAATAACTCTGTAATTAGTCAAGATAGAGTTATGGTTCTTGTGCACCGCACTTCCTCACAATGTGCTTGACCATTGTATGTAGTTATATTGAATTCCAACCATTAGTCTTCAAGTTATGCTCCGGACAAGGAAAATTCAACGGACGTCTGGACTGACCGACCGACCGACCACCGGGTGACTCCTATATACCCCCCCCCCCCCAAACTTCGTTTTTGGGGGTATAATAAGCCAGTGGTTATCTCCCAAAAGCTTTAACATAAGCGCTAGGAGTTCAACGCCATATCAACGCTTACTTGATCGTTATTATAGACACGAAACCGACGGAATTTCTCGAACATTCTTTACATTGTGAATATATGAACATATCTAGCCCATCAAATTGTGCGCAAGGGCTGTAATATCAGGCTGTAAAATCGGGTGGTCTTGCAGTCAAAATATTGAGACTACATCTTAACTTCCGTCGTTTGAAAATAACTAAAAAACAAAAAAATTATGACATTTTATTGCAGTAAAGGCAGCAATGGTCCTATCAGTTTATCACAATAGCAACTAAAAATAAATTGCTGCACGCTTTGACAAGAAGACAAAAAGTCTTAGATTCATGCACAGTAGGAATAAATGAAGCAAAATAAATAATACATTTTGCATACAATTGATGTAGTTAACGAAAGTCTTTATCAAAAAGCCACGACACCGAATAAATTATTTGTACTAAAACACTAAAACATGTTATTTGTCGATTTTTTTTTCATCACGTTTAAATTGATTGTTCAGCGTTGAAAATTGTGAAACAGTTTATTTCCAATTCGAAGTGAAATGTATAAATCAAAATATACTTTACAATTAATCATTAAACTTACGCTTTTTTCTCTAATTCAGTTACTTATCGCGTAAAAATAAAAATGTCGGATTCAAAGGGTAAAAGTCCTATTTATAGAAATGGTTTTGATTGGCTGAAGGTGTTTTATTTAAGCTTCTTCTCCGTCTTCATCATCCTCATCAAACTCTTCACCATCGTCTTCAGCGGTGGCGTCCTGGTACTGTTGGTATTCAGAGACCAAGTCGTTCATGTTGGACTCGGCTTCAGTGAACTCCATCTCGTCCATACCCTCGCCAGTATACCAATGCAAGAAAGCCTTACGACGGAACATAGCGGTGAACTGTTCGGAGATACGCTTGAAGAGCTCCTGGATGGCAGTACTGTTGCCAATGAAGGTGGCGGACATCTTTAGACCACGTGGTGGAATATCACACACGGCTGTCTTGACGTTGTTGGGGATCCATTCAACAAAGTAGCTGCTGTTCTTGTTCTGGACGTTCAGCATCTGTTCGTCGACCTCCTTCATGGACATGCGTCCACGGAACATAGCGGCCACGGTTAGGTATCTACCATGACGTGGGTCGCAGGCAGCCATCATGTTCTTAGAGTCAAACATTTGCTGCGTAAGCTCGGGCACTGTCAGAGCTCTGTATTGCTGGCTACCACGTGAGGTCAAGGGAGCGAATCCTGGCATGAAGAAATGAAGCCGTGGGAAGGGGACCATGTTTACAGCGAGTTTACGTAAATCGGCGTTCAGCTGACCTGGAAAACGGAGTGATGTAGTGATTCCGGACATTGTCGCTGAAACAAGATGATTAAGGTCACCGTAGGTAGGAGTTGTAAGTTTGAGTGTTCTGAAGCAGATATCGTACAGCGCTTCATTGTCGATACAATATGTTTCATCGGTATTTTCCACAAGTTGGTGTACTGATAATGTCGCATTGTATGGTTCTACTACTGTATCTGAGACCTGCAAATTATAACATAAAATATGATTATATTGTTAATAATTTGATTTATCCTATATTTAATATATCCTTTTACATAATTTCATCAATATAAAGTGCAAATTAACACAAATTGTCCAAGACATTTTTTAAACCCCCAACCTGGTCGAACCGGAAGTGATTAGCCTATGTCGTCAGTAAAAAAAACCCAATCCAGCCTGCATATTTGTGCAGTGTGACCATGCTCCCTACTCTTAGAAGCTCAATGTTTTATATATATACATGTATATAACTTTGAATGGGTGCTCTGTTAAGGCAGAGTATAATGTAAGAATTTAGCAGATAATGGGTTAATGTATCAATTAAAAGTACATTGTATGTTTCAAATATTTTTATCACAAAGATGTCGTGGAATAAGCAGCGAAATTAATATTGAAGTAAAATATTATCGGTTTTTAATCAATATCAAGATTTGTCAAATACATGTAAACAAAGTGTATATTAAAACCAGGGAGATTTTCAGATCGGCGATATAATTGTATCGTTTGAATTTCTCCATATCAACTTACTTTTGGTGATGGTACGACGGAAAATGTGTTCATGATTCTATCTGGATATTCTTCACGGATTTTGCTGATCAAAAGTGTACCCATACCAGACCCCGTACCTCCACCCAGGGAGTGTGTGAGTTGGAAACCTTGAAGACAGTCACAGTTCTCTGACTCCTTCCTCACAACGTCCAGCACGGAGTCAACAAGCTCGGCACCCTCGGTGTAGTGACCCTTGGCCCAGTTGTTACCGGCTCCGCTCTGACCAAACACAAAGTTGTCTGGTCGGAAGAGCTGGCCGAATGGTCCGGAGCGGACTGAGTCCATGGTCCCAGGTTCAAGATCGAGTAGTACAGCTCTTGGTACATATTTGCCTCCTGATAAATAGAAATAAGGTTAAAAGAAATGTGGTGTTCTAGGTGCTCTCACATTATTTATGATCTAAAAAGTAACGTATAATGTAGATCTTTGGTGTTTTACACTTTCATTAATAAATTAATTGTATCGATTTATGATTTTTTGTTCATCATAACCTTTGATCTATTGCAAAAAGAAAAAGAACACTAGTCACGTGTCTAAAGAGTTCTTTTAATGAATAACTAACTGTACTTATTACAACGACCTTGACCTCTGACCGTGACCTACTGACATCAATATTAAAAGAAGAAGAAGAAAATTCAATTTAACTTACACCTTTACATATATCTCGTTATACATTAAAACTACTGGCAATGAATATAAAACATTTTGTCACGGTTGGTATTAAAATGTAACAAAATAAAGAAAATGTTTAAAGGTAACGTAGTGGATGTCACACCTGCTATAAGATTTAATGTATACACATTAATTATGATATGCCAAACAGAATCCCAAACATTTGAAAGAGCTACATAACAGCTTCTTTCACATAAAATATACATCAAAGCTTTAAATAAGGAACCAGCAGCATGCTATGTAAGTGTAAACTTTCAGTTAAAATTATTTCAAGGGTAATTAATACAATGTAGACGACAATGCCTGCATTGTTCAAGCATATATTTCCCCCCGGCAAATGTGTTTGAAAGCTTCACCTCCTGTGAACTTTTGTAGCACATTTTATTGTAAATTATACCTACAATTATACGATATTTGCCGGTAATTTGCTTATAGCAAACATAGTTGAAATTGTTTTTCCCTTTTTGCTATGTTGGTAAAATAACGCTCCAGTTGTTCGTAGTGTGGTAAAATATTAAGTTACACACAGTTACATTTTATGCGATTTTCAACACTATATGCATTAAAAGTTATAATTGTAAAAACATATGACAATATTTATTAAACGCTTATTTTCTCCCATTTTGAAAACGTTATTTTTGCATTTGATTGGTAACAAATTTTGTCTTTGTATTTTTTACAAGGTGGAATGTAAAGCAGGAAATACATTGACCAATATATCATTTTAACAATTAATACTTATATAACTGAAAATGTACGATTCCCTTGTTCATAACCTAAAACCGTTTTGGGTTTAACCCTTAGCCTGCATAGAACCGGAAGTGATTAACCTTTGCCGGAAGTATAAAGCACTCTGACCAGACTTTTTACTGGTGGCAGCTAAGATTTTCACAACCCCCTTTTCACTAAATGGACTGTTCCTCATCTAAATCTATTATACAAATTCAGCAGGCTAAGTGTAAAAATAGATATAATTTTCAAGAAAATTCACCTGTGGCTTCATTGAAATAAACATTTATTCTTTCGAGTTGTAGGTCTGAGTCTCCATGGTATGTTCCTGTAGGATCTATACCGTGCTCATCGGATATAACCTCCCAGAACTGTAAAACATCAAACATTTAAAACTTAAAATATTTAAATATGTATATGGATATATATTTACGTATTTTTTATTTTATAAAAAGTATGCTTAAAATGAGTGTGCAGAAAGATGTGAACCGTATAAAACCATCAAAATGAAATGGTAATTAGTTCCCCTTTTTTGTTGAAAAGTTTGTACCGAAAAATGGTGACAAATTAATATGTCCTTGTTATTTGAAGTTTACATGTATCTACACACATCAAACGTTATACAAAATGACTAATTGCCAGACACATTTCCGGCATTTATAGATTAAATCGGAATATCTCGGCTTATCCGAAGTTTGACGGGGAGGGCCGAGAATTGAAGATGCGATTGTGGTAGATTTTGATATATAGAACAGTTCTTCCGTATCATATGAGCGATTTTTTCATAAGTTAACTATTTCAACAAGTTACAAATCTTTTACATTTGCATCATTAAATTTGATGAAAAATATGTACGATCTTCAGGTAATCAAGAGATCAATCAATCAAGAGATCGTAAATGTTCGGCAGATTACGTCATTTTCCGTAAAATTAGGATAAGGTACGGATATAGCCGAAAGTGTTGTCCGAGATTAAACTGACTATTGATGGATGAAATATGATTAAGATGTATCACAAGTATTTTTTATACTTAAGGAAATATCATATAACTTCAACCACCACCCAACTTAAAATATCTAAGAAAAATCTCTTCCAAACACACGAAAGAAACGTTTTTGTTCTCAATAATTTTGTTTTCATTGGGGGCGACAAAGATCCTATTTTCACAATACATGTAACTAGTATAGAGTGAATAATATAAAATATATCTCACAGGTGAACTCGTTGTTTCATAGATATATGTAAAGCAAATTTTTATTTACATTTTAAAATTGGCCTCAGATAAGTCGATCTAGACATGTAAAGTTGTCCGTTTTATACAGGGTTGACTGTAAAACTATATTCTTTACGTTTTTATGTTTCGTGTTTATTTTCCTCTTGTTCATTTTAAACATTGGAGAAATGATATCATTGTTTCTGTGATCTGTCAATCAAGTACAACTGTTCCACAAAAAATAGGCCCATCAGTTCATTATTGACAAACACATTGCCTGTAAGTTACATTATTATCTCGGAAAGTAGCCATTTTGTAGCTGTATTTGTCTTTGTTCAATAATCCAGGACTCCCTAAACAATTCCTCGTTAAAGTTCAAACAGTCAATATAACAAAAGTCACGGAAAACCCATGTCTGTAATTACAAATTAGATATCAAGTGCAACCGTATCGACCAAACGTCCATGTTATTACAGTCACTCCTACATCAGTTGTGCATGCGATGCAGTGAACCATTATTGATCATCTTAAAATGTTTCTCGTCTAAAAAATTGATCTTTAATTAATATACACCAAGGGAGTACATACAAACGATCTTCATTTCCAAATCCAGTAAAGTAATGCTCCATGTATAATTACGTAAATGGTATAATAGTGCACAAAAAATAGACAAAATAAATAAACGAATGCTTCAACTTGATAAAACTACGCAAAAAAAAATAATTATTTTTCATTTTCGCAAAATTTTCTGGAGTGGTCCCGAGATTATGTTGAAATCATATTTACATGAACCATTTCCGCATGTTAACTGAAATTCCTATGGAAGCGTCGTAGTGCCAAACTTGAAATATTTTTATCTCTTAATTAGTAGATACTAAGTCATAATTAGTAGATAGTAAGTACTAATTATTAGATAGTAAGTGCTAATTAGTAGATAGTAAGTTATAATTAGTCGATACTAAGTCATAATTAGTAGATAGTAAGTACTAATTATTAGATAGTAAGTGATAATTAGTAAATAGTAAGTACTAATTAGTAGATAGTAAGTGCTAATTAGTAGATAGTAAGTTATAATTAGTAGATACTAAGTCATAATTAGTTGATAGTAAGTACTAATTATTAGATAGTAAGTGCTAATTAGTAGATAGTAAGTTATAATTAGTCGATACTAAGTCATAATTAGTAGATAGTAAGTACTAATTATTAGATAGTAAGTGATAATTAGTAAATAGTAAGTACTAATTAGTAGATAGTAAGTGCTAATTAGTAGATAGTAAGTTATAATTAGTAGATACTAAGTCATAATTAGTTGATAGTAAGTACTAATTATTAGATAGTAAGTTATAATTAGTAGATAGTAAGTACTAATTAGTACATATTTAGTAATAATTATTAGATAGTTAGTACTAATAAGTAAATGCTAAGTCATAATTAGTAGATACTAAGTCATAAATAGTAGATAGTAAGTGCTAATTAGTAGATAATAAGTCGTAATTAGTAGATACTAAGTATGTACTAATTAGTACTTACTATCTACTAATTATGACTTATTATGTTCTAATTAGTACTTACTATCTACTAATTATGACTTATTATCTACTAATTAGTACTTACTATATACTAATTATGACATAGTATCTATTAATTAGTACTTACTATCTACTAATTATGACTTATTATGTTCTAATTAGTACTTACTATCTACTAATTATGACTTATTATCTACTAATTAGTACTTACTATATACTAATTATGACATAGTATCTATTAATTAGTACTTACTATCTACTAATTATGACTTATTATGTTCTAATTAGTACTTACTATCTACTAATTATGACTTATTATCTACTAAGTAGTACTTACTATATACTAATTATGACATAGTATCCATTAATTAGTACTTACTATCTACTAATTATGACTTATTATCTACTAATTAGTACTTACTATCTACTAATTATGACATAGTATCTATTAATTAGTACTTACTATCTACTAATTATGACTTAGTATCTACTAATTAGTACTTACTATCTAATAATTAGCACTTACTATCTACTAATTATGACTTAGTATCTACTAATTAGTACTTACTATATACTAATTATGACTTAGTATATACTAATTAGCACTTACTATCTCCTAATTAGTATTTACTGTCTACTAATTATGACTTAGCATCTACTAATTAGCACTTACTTTCTACTAATTAGCACTTACTTTCTACTAATTAGCACTTACTTTCTACTAATTAGCACTTACTATCTACTAATTATGACATAAAAACATTTCAGGTTTGGCACTAGGACGCTTCCATAAATTCCCGATATAATTATACTTAATTAAAATCAATTAGTCAGTTTATAGCCTCATGTATAGTATAATATAATATCATTGAAATTGGCTGTTACTATTTTCCCCCTGATTATATATAAATATATACATGTGTATATATATTGATCAACTAAGCATATTTTTCCTGGCAAGCGTACTGTTCATTAAAGTGATTAAACCCAAAAACCCTCCATGTAGGAGTTGTGTTATATATTATACAACATACGGTTGGATCACGCCAACGATGACTCACGTCCTCTGGAGTTGATTCTCAATTAGGGATCTCCCGAACTTTGAATCAATACCAGCCGTCTTGTTACACAATAAGAAAAAGTTCTACTATCTCCATAGCAACGAGTATTCCCGCAGCAGCTGCTGTGAGACGCTGCTGTATGCTAATGAAAACATATACTGCAGACATAAGATGAGTCTGCACTGATCATGTCTTCATCACTAAAATTGAAAATAAATGTTGTTTGCAACATGCAACTGAACTGTTTCGGTGTTATATGTAAAATTGCCGGAAAATAGTGAATGTTACGCCGACATTGTCCAATAAAATTTATTCGCGACTTTTGCAAGCCAATATCGCAGTTGGTTTTGTTTTAAATCTATGATTTTGGAGTAAATTATTCATAATTTGTACGGAACATCATTGCTTTAAATTCAACCGGATATAGAACAATTGAGAACCATTGATAAATTATCCTCATGGATTAATCAATTATGTTCGCTATGAATCAGCTTTAATTATCGTCTGCTTGTGAGAATATCGTCTGGTTCAACAGACGATTACTCACTCGAGAAGTGCACGTGTACTTAAAAGTGCATTCAGCATTCTATGGATTTCGTAAATTTATGAAAACATTCTCCTGAAAGCGACATTGCGTATACGACCATTTTGCAGACGACAATATTTCAGCCATTAATATACATGTACTATTTTTTCGCGAAATCCATTGTTCAAAAACATGAGAATTGTCAAAATTGTCTGGTAAGACCCTGTAAAAGTCCATTGATTAAACTTTAAAGAACCTAGTATTTTCTATGGGATCAACTTTGTATGATTTATACAATACATTTAATTCATGTTTCTTCATTGCCGGAAGGACCATTTTACATATGTGAATATAATTATTCTGAAGTATGAGTAATAGTATAAATTCATGAGTAATATGTTAACATAACAAATACGTCGATTAAAATAACTGAATGCAGGCATTCACAGAGACTGAGTTTATTATATATATCAAATGTTCTTAATCCACGTATAAAATCAACGTTCACGCCACTTTATATGTATGTCAAATATATATGTGACCAACGTATGAATGACATAAGCCTTTATGTACACTGCATTTAGCTGTCATGTATAAAAGTTAGATAAACTATTAAATATATAAATATGTTACGAAATAAATATATGAAATGTCTTACCTTTGCACCAATTTGGTTTCCGCATTGTCCAGCCTGAATGTGAACAATTTCTCTCATTTTAAAACCTTTTCGATTTCCCTTGGTCCGCTCCCTGCCAAATAACTTGTTAAACTGGCGATATATCTCAACTCATTATAATATCTGCGTGCGCATCGACATCTTCTCATATTGCTCGCGCATGGCTATTTATAAACTTCATTTTAAATAGCACATATATCAAGTTAAAACTATTGAAATAATATTTTTTTACATATAAGCCTTTTTGATCAGCATATTGACAACTGATTTTCTATACAACAAAAAAACTCGTGACATGATACCATCATTTTTAGTACAGGAATATGTGAAATAATGGTGCTACTTTTTATGCAAGTTCGGATTATAGATTTGCCTTTGTACGTCCGACTGTTCGACACGCTGTCAGGCTGCTGTACTGTAATTGCCTTTGCGCTGACTTCGTCATGAAACGTAATCAGCACCGTAATCAATTGCGTGGAGATCTACAAAGTTATCCCCCATTATGAGTATTGTTACAAGACCTGGCCGAGACTATTTATATTACAGATTGATATATATTGAGCACTCTTACACCGTCTTACATTTTTACTTAAATTAAGGTCCCAAATTAAGAAAATACAGAACAGCTCTGTACCTGTGAGGTCGCGTGTAACTCATAAAGTTGCCTAGAGCTGGCGCCTTGGAACATTGTCAGAAAACATGCCAGTATTTGGACACTATATTGTACGGGTATTTCGGAGGTCAGCAGAGTTATGGCCCTAGAATTATTATCTTGGATTCACCGCAATACGGCTGTATTTATAAGTCAAAGGACGCTAGCCCAATAAACATGGCCTCCAGATGCCCGTGTATGATGACTTACCTTTTGCTCCGATTACATATTAATTGCAACAAAGTCAGCGCATTAGTTTGCAGTCACATGTCGCTGTCCTTATAAACATGACCGCCAGATTTAATGGTGTCGATTTCGTCTACTGTTATATGTATATGTATACTCCACGTAGTTCTGTAAAATTGAAACCAATTTCCAGAGTCTCCGGTTAAGTGGTCCGATTTCATGGCGGATTGTCCAAAGCAAAAGCTTAGAGGGTTATTTTCACAGAACTATTAAGTGCTGACCTAAGAAACATGTCCGAAACTAGTTTTTCACAATACGTACGGCAGTATAAGGCACAGAACGCTGGCTGCTATAGATACTGTAATGATATTGAGTTATTTTATATTCATATGACCTTTAACCTTAATACTCATTTCTGTAAATTTCCACTGACCACGTACGTTGTGCCTGTAGAATGTTATATCTTGGGAGATTTCCCGCCAATGCATCAGTCCAGATAATAAAACTGACTAGAACACACTTAATTGTGTCTTTTCTCTTATTATATTCACATTTGTGAATCGCATGGACCAACTTTAATAGTATATAAGATATACAAAGAATATTACATATACCATCATCGCATTGGCGTTTCCTTTGACGTTATTTTGTTATAAACATTTTTAGAAACCTTGTAATTTCGTAAACAGCACTATTTACCGTGACTTAGCAATCGTTCCGATCTCGTTGCAAATAAGCCAGCATATTATTTTGGGGTCTCTGTTTTCCGGCAATATTAGGGCACATATCGCTATCCAAACATGGCAACCAGATGCCCAGTTAGGTAATACGTACCTTCTAGCCTAATGCCAATTTCGACTACTGTTAAATGGTTATTCATTCTTCGTAGTTTTTCATTTTCCATAGCCTCTCATTAGCTATTAAGATTTTTTGACTGGTTATATGACCTTATATAAACGGTTGTTTGTGGCTGCTCAGGTTAGATTTCAAACAACCATTTATATTATTAGGTATAAAGATTTTTTAATCTGGCGCAAAAAAACAACGTAGAAGGTCATTTTCACGGAAATATGTAATAAGCATGGCGGAACAGACAGATATAGCAGAAAGAGATCACGTTATACGGTTACTGGCAAACCAAAAAATATCTGTATTGTGCTGGTTGAGGCGGCTGTGTATGATACGACGTGCACGTTCACAATGCTCTGAGATAATGACGTGTACGAATTTATGTAAATCTGCTTAATGTAGCTGAAGAAGTGGGATTGAATCAAATCCCTTACGGATGTGGAAATAGCACTTGGCATAGCCGAAAGTCCTGATGACAGTATTCCGGTGAGCTGCGAGCAAAACCATCGTCCAGGTGTCAGTTTGAAGATATCCAAGTTAGACAAATGCATGTCTGGCAAACTGTGTTTTTCAAAAGACAAACTTGTTTGTTATTGCCGTTGTAGTAGTTCTAGGCACGGATCTGTGCTCTAAGATACAACAAAATTGCAGTACTCTGGCGATATGAAATGAAAGCAAGAATACGAACTAAAGATACGGCTGTACAGCGGCATAGGATGATGGGTGATCATTCAATCATTTAAAATAAGTGATTATAAAAAAATATACTTTTGTTCTTTGAAAAGATTTAGATTTAATTCAGGAACTTATTTCTGAAATAAGAAATGAAAGATGCCACCAGTATTGGTTCGATCGAAAAAAATGTTTCATTTCAACATGGAGCTTTATATTACACTCTGTAATAAAAATCTCTGACTCAAACAAGCATTAATTGTAAGATCATTGTGTAACTCTGTCTACTTAATAAAAATTAATGCCAACGTTGAAACACAAATATGATGCTATGCACCTAAAAGTATTATCTGGGTAAAACGCTTTTTGTGTATGATGCAAAAGTGTTCATTGATAAAGCATCATTTACTGTATTATATGACAAGTAATGTATCGTAAATAATTCATACATATTTTGAAATAATGTTTGTAGTCAGCCTAGAATCATGTTAAATCTTTCCAATGCAAGCAATATTTACATTGTTATACAAAATTTTGTTATTTTATTAGCTATTAAGATTTTTTGACTGGTTATATGACCCTATATAAACGGTTGTTTGTGTCTGCTCAGGTTAGATTTCAAACAACTATTTATATAATTAGGTATAAAGATTTTTGAAGGTTATATGGCCCTATATAATTATATGGTTGTTTGCATATGTATAACCCGAGCCACTTGGCACGGGTTTTATTTCAAACAACCGTTAATATATGGCCACATAACATGCCATGAGCCTTTATACAGAAAAAACTTCCTTAACTTGTGGAAAAATTAAACTACTTAATAAATTGACAGCAGTCGTGTTTGTTATTAGCTATAAAGATGACAGGTTATATGGCCCTATATAAACGGTTATATCAAAAACAACTGTTTTATATATACGGCCATATAACCTGTCAGGAATATTTTTAAGAGAAACAAGGGCAACATTGTCGCAAAATACGCCCGTCACAAAAGCTTTTGACAGAGATGTGGGCATTATAGATATGCATATAGGAGATATGCTCTGGGCATTTTCCGGAAAATATCTGGATTTTTTATCATCTTCAGTAACCTTGACCTTGTAAATATCAACTTGAACTTACAAAGTCATGATAGTTATCATTTGTGTTACAATCCATCAGTAAATGATGACTAAATGGTTCGTACACAAACTTTGACCTCTCTATGGTAGCATGAACCTGGATTATGTGCGCAATAAGCCTCAAAATGGTGGACATTTGTGCCAAGTTACATAAAAAAAACCCGATGAATGTAAAAGTTCGGCTCCGAACAAGCATTTTTTTTATACCATTCCTTCCCTTACATAAGAGTATGACTATACCTAAAACTGTTTTAATATAAAACAACAACTAGTTGCAATACAAATTCTGTATTTGAGTAAGCGTCTAGACAGTCAGATGAACACTTATAATATGACATACATTATTATTATTGTATAATAATACAGTAAAACTTGACTATTATGTGTTTAACAATTTTACAAAACACATAATCATTTATAATATCATTATTTCTGATAAATATACTTAAATGAAATACCAGCAATATTACTTTATAAGATTACGTCACATCTATATGAAAAACTTGAAAATATCATTTATACATAATGTTGGTCCACAATATATGAAAACCTTGAAAAATTTGAAATAAGTGTACGGGTCAGTCTGACTGTCCAAAGCTGAATGACTATTGAATCGATAATTTTGCACGTGCAAAATTATACGAATATCGACACCTAGCGGTCCTCAATACATTCAGGGAAATTAATTTTCTTCTTATTCGCTACTCTCAAACAAAGAAAATTACATTTTTCAATTAACTATACATGTGACCTTAATCTTTAACCTAGTGACCTGGTTCATGCACATGATTCTGCTTCTCACAGTTGTGAACATTTCTATGAAGTTTAAAAAGAAATCCTCCATATGTGTACGAGATATGCTATGGACAAAATCTCTATATTTTATCATCTTTAGTGATCTTGACCTTGCATATATTAATTTCACATCCGTAGTCATGATAGTGACCATTTGTGTTTCAATCCTTTAATAAATGATTGCTTTATGGTCCGGATACACATTTTAATATTTTTATTTGAATTTTGACCCCTATATGTGACCTTGACCTTGGCCGCAGGAACCTTACTTTTGCAGCGACACTCTGGCTCACAATGGTGAACATTTGTGCCAAGTTATATTGAAATCCCTCTATGCATGCAGAAGTTTTTCTCCGAACAAGTGTTTTTTTCAATGACCTCTGTGACCATGACCTAGAAACCTGGTTCATGCGTGCAACATGGTTTCTCACAATCTCCACACAGTGATCTCCCCTTAATTCTTCGGCGTAGATCTCTGCCACCAAGGTCCCAATATATCAGAATTTCTGATATACTATATTTTTCAAAAATTGTTTTATCTACTGCTTTTATAGATCTATCAGATAAGTTTTCTCTCATTTATTTAACAATGTTTATGAATAAATAAATAAATAATATGAATATTTAGAAATAATTTAAAAAATTATGAGATTATTTTCTACCGAGACGATATTTTGATATTTTATATTTTTTAGCTTTTGAATTTATTTTTCGTTATTTTGTATACTTTCGATAATTTTTTGATAAATTATATCGAACGTAGGCACTAAAAGTTAAAAATAAAACAGAAAGAGAAAAATAACGTTAGATTTTCTTTGTAACGGTCGATATTTACATTTGAATTTCGACGTTACATCATGCGACTTTCATCATCATGTGACGTCTTTGAAGGCAGTGATTACAATTCTGCCAAGGGAGGTAATCACTGTGAGGAGTTTGGGTTTCTCATAGTGGTGAACATTTCTATGAAGTTTCATTACAATTCCTCCAAATGTGTAGGGGGTATGCTTCAGACAAAAATTGGACGCGTCGCCCACCATGGGAGAAACTATAAAATGACCCATTTTTCAAAAGGGCATATAAAAAAAAGAGATTTCTTAATAAATTGACAGTAGCTGTGTACATAAAACTTTATAATACTGCACGTTTGTAACGTCGCTTTTCATTGGATAATCGTGACGTTTATATAATTCTATATACACGGCTGTTGTCGATTCATAAATAAATCTTACTTTTTTCTCTCTAAAAATGATGCTTGCTGTATTATAAATTCGTCATAAAGATTGCTGAAAGGTTATATGGCTGTATATAATCGGCTATTTGCAAGATAGCCCTCGCCTAGCGGCTCGGGTTATATTTACAAAAAGCCATCTATATAGGGCCATATAACCTGTCAACAATCTTTATAACTAATAATATAAACGTCATGATTATCCAATGAAAAGTGGTGTTCCAAACATGCAGTATTAAAAAGTTTATATAAACTTCAGACTCATAATTATCCAATACAAAGCGGTGTTACAAACATGCAGTATTATTTGATAAAACAAACACATGTAGTTCATCTTGTAATTTAATTCCATCATATATACAATAATTGTTTACAAATAACTGAGATACATTCAGCACAATAGATGCTATATTATCTATAATACAAGAACTAGCCTGTAGTAATCATAACAAAATAAATATATCTACATAGTCTTTTCTATATCTTAATATTCCTTACAGAGTTAACTAACTTTAAATGATAATCATTTTTTTTTATAGTCGAGCTAATGGGAATATGTTTCTATTCTTTATAAATATGAATATTTTCGATCTATTCATATCTTTTTGGCTTATTCTATTTTACTTATATTATACTTATAATTATACTTATATTATGGCTCATTGCATAGAGGTTAATTATCGCCATTTTGTGTTTCAAATTTAACCCTTTAAAGGACATGACTGGTGACATGTACAGGGTCCATACTCGACAGTGCAAAAAGAAAGGACTGATGGACACTCATTAAGCATAGATTTCATCATGAATATTTTACCATATTTACCATTCGCTTATAAGAATACATGTACCTTTGTACCAAAGCAATTTACTCTTAGTACAATTTTTGTACCATAAGTGTGTGCTTGTAAAACTATTTTAGTAAGAAATATATTTGCATACAAGAATATTTTTCTACTAGTATAATAATCATTTGCGTACAACTTAAATTTTCTACAATTTTCATACAGATTCTTCTGTGACAATTGATCTCGGACATCTCATCTACCAATCATTTGTCCCTACATACTGATTCAGAAATTATCAGGGATAAGTAGTTGGTCACTTACAAATGAAAATGATAATATCTGGTTAGTTATCAAGATAAGCCAGTCCAAAGATATGACCAAATATGTCAAATATATCCATAAGAAGAAAAAATAATTTGGTTGTAACAATATTTTAATATGATAATCATTTTTTTATAAGATCATTTTCATAAGAAAATCATTTTGATTCTAAACAAACAATAAAAATAATCTTCTTTTTTTAATTAAAGGTATCTTTTTCTGTGACAAAATCATTTGCCAATCTGAAATATTATACATGTACATTGTTTTCCTAAGATTATCAAAAATTCTATTTTCCAGGGTAAATCATTTGCTCACAGAAATACTTTCAAACTACATTTTTCATAACATTATGTATAAATAAATGCTTTACAAACTAAAAATATACATTAAACTTAATGGCAGTGGTAAGTAATATATATTAATTGTATACAAGAATTGACATAAAAAAGCATATTTGACCTTTTATTTTCATAATTATGTAAATTTTAAGGAATACAAAATACTGCGATTACATAAATTAGTATCATTTCGGTCTATATAATATGACTATGTTTATTTACATAAAAAAGCAAAATAAACAAAATTGAAAAAAAAATCAAAATTATTTTAATCAATTAGTCATGCAGTTATTTTTTCTTACAAATCCATTGTGATTGTACTGCAACTGTTTACACTTTTAAACAAATATTATTCAATTTCATAATGCTTATACTATAACTATGACATTCATGTCTTTGTGATTTAATTTGGCAATAAATCATGATTTTTGTTTTGTTAGCAGGTGAATATTGCACTTGTAGTGTGTAGTTAATAATGATTATTTACAAATTGATGAGTTTTATATAAAACTGTTAATTTTTACTACTGAGCTGGGACAGAAGATAACTATTGTCCCAGTACTGAGTTTTAAATAAAATCAAACTTCTCTGAAGAAGCCTGGGTAGTAGATTATAAAACAATTTCTAATTCCAGGTATCTGATTGGTCAGAAACTAACATAGAACATACACTGACCAATGAAAATCATGAGATTTGTGAGAGACCAAAATTTATGTTTTATAACCAAAGTTACCTAAATATTCTAAGGGAAAAATCTAAATGGAATTTACTGGACTATAGGTGGTATTTACCTAAAGGTCAAGGGTCACATTATCTTGAAGGCTAAAATACTTTCATTATCATTTCTAAAAATTTCTAAAATTCTAAATTTCACAGAAAAAAAACCCCCAAACATTTTGAATGACATTACATAATGATGATAATAATAATAATATATCTATTGATGCGCAGATCTGTTTGTAATGTTGAAAGTTATAACAACATTTCAAAGGCACATGGCAAATTTTTAGCTTTTCAGGTACTAACTTGCACCGGAAGTAGAAACACTGTTATGACAAGGAGAAATTGATTTGAAAACAGTGACCCATACCACTTGATTACAAATGCCCCTAGAACAGATCTACAACATGTATTAAAGGCTATACATTCATGCATGTATAACATGTATAATATATAATAAATACGTCAAAGTTTGAAGCAGAAATTGAATATATAGCTAGTTTAAATAACAATAATTGTAACATTAACATTTTTCTATTAAGGCATGCAAAAATACAACAATATTATTTAAACAATGAACATTTTTTGTAACGATTATGAATTCTGGTTTATTTCTTAGTTTGCTCATCATACGCTTTCTTCAGACGTTTCTTTAATTCCCCCGGGAACTTGTCGTAACAAAACTTGCATACTGGTTTCAGATCAAACTCGAAAAATTTCGTTCTGCAAGAAAATAAATAACAGTGTTTAATGTAGAATTATCAGCAGATATTTTATGAATACGGTAATTGTTTTTTTTTAAAAAAAGAAGATAAAAATAATTTCTTCACATAAACAGTATTACAAAATACTTAATGGCTCAAATTTACAAAAAAAGTAATTATATCAATAGTAAAACATATTTATAAGCCATTTCTAGAAATTACTTTAAAACATATATAAAGCTAAATTTCAAAATTTTGGATTGAATTTCAAGACACACTAACACTGTTAAATGTAACATGACTCAGTCATGTCCTGACTGGTAAAAATAAAACCCCAAACTACAGGTACATCTTCATTAACCCTTTCGCTGCTATTATTATTAATTTATTATTATCACTATTATTATTATAGAAACGGCTAAAGCCTTCCCTATGGCAGTGAAAGGGTTAAATCAGACACAAACAAACAATAGTATGAGAACAACCACTGCTCTTCCACAAGTTAATTTAATCCATCTCTCACTAGAACATGAAAAGGTGGTTTCCTTCTTGTTAATATGTTTGATGCCATGACATTTATCTTGAACAATTTACCTGAATTCTCATTTAAGTAGAATAATCCTTAATACGAGAACAAGTTTAGTCAAAATTAAAACCATCATTTTTTCCCATATTAATTATCAAATCAAAAACATGAATAAATCAAACTCCTGCTGGAAACATCATACATATTTTACTTACTTTTGACTCATTTTTCTATCACATATAGAACAAGCAAAATGGTTGACATGCCAAGCCTTGTTAAATGCATGGAACACTGAAACAAACAAAAAAGTAAATCAAGTCAATTTCTGTCTTACAAACACATGAAAATTTGCACAAATCTTTATAAAGCAAGAGGTACTCAAAGAAGAGCAAGACCACTAAAGGCCAGTTATACCCCAGAAATGATTTTTATGTCTCATGAACTTTTTACTTTTTAGTATTTTTTTTCACTTTCCAAAGAAATACTTATTTTATATATACTTATACATGATCTTTTGCTTCTTTGCAATGTTGGCAATAAGTATAATTACAGTGAATTAGTTTCTTATATGGAAGTCAAAATACTACTTTGTTTACATTTTGCTACCTTTATGACACGTTTGCATGTTCAGCGCTACTTTATTCAGTTCTTAATCATCTAACATGCTCTTAAACAATATCTATTGTATCATAGTTTGGGGACCTTTCTGTTGAAAATGTGTCAGAGTTAAATGGTATACATATACACGCACAGTGCGTTAACTGGAGTGCAGGTATTAGTTACCCGCACTCCAGAGCATGCCCGTTGATTGGCTCATTTTTGCTGGGGTTTACTTATTGTGACGGAAGGGAAAGAGAAAGCGACAGAAATATCATATTCAGATGCTCGTTCATTGGTTACTTTTTCCCGCGGTTTCATATTGTGACAACTGGGAACGTGTTTTTATTTTTGACTATGATACAAAAGAGAAAGAACATCAAAACACTCGGCAATCTGATTAATACTCGGGGGCTACGCCCCCTCGTACAAATCAGATAGCCTCGTGTTTCCATGCTCTTTCTATTACTTATTTAACACATGTTTGACATTTCTTAAGAATTAAAAAAACTCATGGATTTCTGTATCAAAATGTGCTTTTAAAGGGACTTTTTACATGATAGGACTGAAAATATATTTCAGAGATTTTTGTACCAACTGATGTAGGTCTTGACCAGTTTTTGTGAGCACATTTTCAGCTCATTCTCCGCTTTTCCAGAGTATCACTTTTATCTTGCAAAAGGACCCAAAAATGAAATAATTGTAACACATTTTACTCAAAACTGCTAAGAATTGTACACAAAATTGATTTTCCAATTTAATTCCGAGGATATTTCTTTGTTATTCTTTGCATATTTTTCAAATTTCAAAGCTTACTTGATATTTACTAATTTTCGTTTAGTTATCAAAAACTTTTACATTTTGGACTTCAGTGGAGTTCCTTTAACATGAATGATGTACTTACCATCACCGGAGATAACACTGTTACAAGTGAAACAAATGTTTCCAAACAGCTGATGGTGTAGTGAATCTCACAATAGGCCAGTCCCTTCTTCTCATAATGCCGGGTACCAAAGAATGGCTTCTCACACTTGGCACAAACAAAATGTTCCACATGCCAGGCCTTACCCAGTGCATGTACAACTCTCTCCTCAATGGGACGTCTGAAAATATACATAATGATATTTATTATTTATTCTAATACACTTCACACTATTCCCTTAAAAATCAGATAGGGAAATCAAATGCATTATTACAATCATGATATATTCATTGCATAAAAAAACGTGTACACATCATATGACCTCAACATATTTTATCCATTTTCTATTTTATTAGCATGTTAGAATGGAAATATATGTTACTTTTTCTTACACTATAGTATAATAATGCACAGCTCATCATTCAAATGCTTTGTAATTAACCACTCAGGCCTATCTGCCTACATGATTAAATTCCTGTGCATTTGAACTAATCTACAACAATGCACTCAAAATTGATATCTATTTCCAAGGTATAATAATACACATGTATGTTGAGTGAAATGTAATCAAAACAAAAGTAAGGATGTTGAACTTTGTTATATTTGAGTTTTAAGTTAGACCAACACTGTAAAGATTCTATGGCAACTTTAAAACATTACTTGTTGAAGAATAAAAATCTGTAGGAAGGGTGATCCCTTGGAAGCATAAATCACAACATAATTACATGAAAATTGCAGACTCGGTTTGATTGTGTCTGTACTCAGGTGTAACTCCTTGCAATATCTCAGACAAATTGAAAGGTCTAACGGTTAAGGGATACTCGGGGAAAATTATTGACAAAAATATTAAAATGATTTCATGTATTCAAATCACACTTAAATGACATTTTTTCAAAGTCCCAGCATGAATTTCTGTATAAATTCTATATATTTTGGGTTTGAAGCGTAAATATATTTATATGTTTTGAATGAAATCTAAACGCCGACAGAATTACCGAGTAGTTTTAAAACAAGTTATGTGACTTGAACAAACTTTGGGAGTTACAATAACAGAAATTGTTGATATTGTATGATCAATACAAGTGAAAGTCATTCATTTGACATGTTCTTGAACGTTTCCAGAGCTCACTGTGACAACCATTGTGAAATTTTAACGCTCTAACCTGACCCACGTGGGTCAAGTTAGGAAACCACCACTTTATTCTTTATATGGAGAAAAGTTTTGTTCCTGTGACTGCCTAGTGTATTCATTTTGAGGACATTTACAGAATAATGAATAAAAAAATAAAAACAAAGAAATTAAAATATTGCCTGTATCTTCCTTTAAAGATTAGAACTTATAGCAATGACATACACTAGATTGATAAAACAATTAAAGAAACTCCACTCAGCTCCAAAACATTAAAAACATTGAATTTCTAACATATCAGCTGGGGCACTTATAACAATAAGCTTAAGAAATATAATCTGAATAAATTGTAAATTTAAATCATGCTTTTGTGGAATTCTTAGACGGATTTAAGTAGAAAGCATTTGTAATGCTTATCAACCTTGGATCATTTTTCACAATTAAAATAATTATTCTGGCAAAACGGAGTGAGCAAATGATCTAAAATTTTGCATAAAAATTATTGGTCAACACCTAAACCAAATGGTACATTAATCTCAAAAAAAAATTCTAGTCCAGTTATGTCAAAAAACCTCAGTGGAGTCCCTTTAATACACATAATCCTGTGAAATGATGTTTTGCCAGTTACCTGCAAGCACCACAGATTGGTATTCCCATTTTATCATGGCATCTAAGGCAGTACAGCTCACCATTCACTTCCCTTGCATCAGCATTCAGCTCAATACTGTAAACAAACAAATAAGGCATCAATTACAACAGTTACTGTAACAATTTTCAAGTTTTTGTGGCCTTTTACAGTTCACTTAATGACATGAATATAATGTTCAGAGTTAAAGAATTTGTTTTTTAACTTTGAATACCAATGGTGACAATGACTAGTCTGAAGAACAAAGCTGACAAAGCATACATGCAAGTTGCTGATCAAGGATTTTGGTTTGAGTCTGTAAAAAAATTTTGCGAATATTGGTATTGGAAATTTAGTTTTTTGCCTTTTATGAAAGTTTAAGAGTATAACACCTCAAAAAAAAACCATGACCTTTTATCTAGCAAGTATTCTCTTTTTTCCTATAAAGTCTTTTTTTATAAAAAAATATTTAAATTTTCTTATGTTTCTATTTGAATTACAACAGGTTTCTGTGGAAAAAATGGTTTTTTACAAGCATAAAAAAAATGTTTTAAAATTTTTTTTCCAAGATAAACCCTGAAACTCAACACAGGGTGTGTCACAGAAAAGAAACAATATAATTTATCATAACAATTTTAATTTAATCAATAATTTAACCAAAAAAAATCCCTTAACATTTTTTTCCCACCCATGATTACCTGCAAGATTACAGTTAAAGTGGTAAGGATGGAAGGCCTCCCCCTTGTATTTTATATGTCCTTCCTCAATTATAGAATGGCATTTATGGCACACATACTTTCCCAGTCCACGTGCCTTCTCACGAGCATTGCACTCACGACATAGAGCTCTGAAAAAAAATTAAATGTAAAAAAATAAAAAGGTCTAAGAAATGGAAAATAAAAGAAAGTAAAGTACAAGAGTGTTGTTCATCCCATAAACCCCAACTCTTTGGTGACCCAGCCCTTTGGGCAACCAAGTAAGGGGGGCCGGGTTTCCTTTTGTAAAGTCTGATGGCTCTTTTCCCTTGCTGATAAATAAAATTTAATTTAAATAGAAAGTTTCAAATTGAAAGCAGGACAATACCATTACATAAATAATTGGGGTAAAAGTTAGCTTATTGTTAAGATGATTTTTCTTGTCCAGAAAATTTACTGAAATCAAGGATTATTTGAATAAGAGAATTCACAAACTATGTTTGGGAAGCTAGATTCCCTTTGTCAAGTTAATTTGGTCTTTTTCTACATATTTATACTGTGTTCCCTTATAAGTGTATAGAGTTTGATAAATTACATATCTTCTCTGTGTGTAATCAGAAAATGTTGTTATTTTCATTAAAAAAGTGACTGTGTAGAAATTTTTTCAAACAAATTTTTTGTGTTATATTATATATCATAAGATATTTTATCTAAATCATGGACTGTTGTATAAAATTCTTATAATTTCATATTTGTTTGGTTTCTGTAGCATTTTTAATGAAAATCTTAAGACTAAACAATACTTACCTTCCTGCATTTTTAACAAAACCAGAATCAGCGAGAGGTCCGGCACAAATCTGGCACCGGAAACAATCGGGATGCCAGCTGTTATTCAGAGCCTTAATCACTCTGCCAACGATGAATTCTCCTATAATATACAACAAAGCCCATAGTTTATCTTCTAGTTATATCATCATAAAGAATAATTATATTTTAGTCATTTTTCAATATAAAAGTTTATACATATTTTCTAATAACAAACTCAAACAACTATTTAGATTCTGCTGGAACTGAAAGCAATTAGACTTTGTCACCAGGATAAAGCCAGAACAGCTTGCACCTTTGTCTGACCAGGCACTATATTGTGGGTGGCTACATCTTTGTATTTTGATAATGTAACCTCTTCAACTTTAAATGGACTGTTCCACTTTCAAAGCAGGGCCATACCATTATACAAAGTCAGCAGGTTAAAGGTTCATAAAGCTTGAATTATTATGTAATACAGTATCAAATTTTGGAATACTCTTTATACACTGGCAGCTACAACTCACCTACTTACATAAAATATCAGTATAGAGTTAGGCCAATTTGTCTGTCCAGTTCTGTTGGCAACTTAATTTCAATATTTTGGTACCATGACTTAATTTCAACATTTTGGTATTCAACATTTTGGTATCACAAAAGCTGCCCCTAAGACAACACACTCCACTATTCCCAGCGCTCGACAGTAATAAAAAGGAGCATGACTTAGTAAAAAGGTAACTCAGAGTAATAGGACCTGTGTCCCTCATACAAGATAATCATAGAGAACAAGTGTTTAAAGTTTCAACCCATTACTTATAGCAGTTTTGGAGATACCAACTAGCACACAAAAACTTAACTAAAGTGTGATGCCGGCACCTGGGTGAGTATAATAGCTCTCTCTATTCACAAAAATCCTTAATATTTACAACTGACAGTTTCAAATCATTTCATAAATGCGTTTTATTTCGGCTTCCATAGTTAGCAAGGTACTTACCACATTTCCCACAGCATGGAGCAAACAATACATGGAAGTCATGTTCACAGTACTTCCTGCCTTCAAACTGAAATTACAAATACACCATATATCAACACAAGAAAACTTGCCCTAAACAGCACCCACCTCTCAACTATACATCCCTGGCTTATCTGTCAATGGATGTCACCGTTACATTTTCTTGTACAACTCTTGAACAACCGTGGTGAGAAATGACCTACCGGTACCAATGCCTCAGACATCTATGAAGGATCACCAGGCTTAATATTATTGGTAGCCATTTGTTTTTTATTTTGGTATTGAAATCCCTTAAATTTTGTATGGACTATTACAAATTCACTGTTATATAATTATGGACTGATAAAATTTTGGTTTTAAAAACGTGACGGCATGGCCACGTGGTTAATGCATCAGACTAGTAATCTAATGATCGCAAGAATGTGTCAGGAGGAAGTTGTTGTTTCCTTGAGCAAGAAACTTTCAACTCATTAATCAGTACTGGTGGGTTCCAGGAACCGATTCAAACGTGTGTCTATAAGATTATAGCTTCATACACAATCTAGCTAAAATAAATTTTGTATAAACTAAAAAGATTTTCTAATATATCATTAAATATTACGCTTGTAAATTTACTAGACATGAAAGTCAGTTTTAGATCCATAATGGTAAATATATGTACAAAGAACAGGTACAGTATCACCTCTGCAAAGCAACACTTTTTGAGAGACAACCATTTTTGTTGTCACTGTGAGGTGTTGCTCTTAGAGAGAATAAATCTATTGTGAAGTCTTACTTTGAAAAAAAAGAAATGGTTGTTGTAAAGAAGTAGTTGCTCTACAGAGTGCCATTCTGGGAAGATTCCACTGCAATACCAAAATCTGTTAAGGAATCTTAAAAGACAAATTCATGGATCTGACAGGACAAATAAACACTATTTTTGACCTTTGACCTGAAATCTAGCTTAATATTAATGTGCTACATACCTAAGCATAACATATAACTCATCATTCAGATGATTTTAAGAAAGTTAGTCAAAGTTTAAAGACACCCACATTTCAAGATCTTATTTTCTAAATGCTGTTTAAAACATTAAATTAATTTAGAGATAACAATCTCAACAGGAATTTTAACATTAATGTTATCGCAGAGTTTTAACAATGGTTGTTGTTCCCTATTAAATGTGACAACCATTACTGTTTTCTATTTCTGGCAATACACATTAAACTTTCAATATTTCCAAGAAAAGAACAGCAGACTGTTATTATCTTTCTTTAGGTTATTTCATCTGTAACTCAATACATCACAGACCGAACAATTGATGCTTGATAGTTGATATAAAAACTCACCTCATAGAAAATTCCCTCTGGGAAAGGTTGGAAGCACTGGGCACACCTGAAATAATTATAACGAAAGAATACATGTGTATTTAATTTATTTGCTTTTCTTTCCATCACTGACTTGGTATAAATATATCTTTCATGAGTTTCAAGCTCTTTTTTTTGCACATACAGCCTGGTTTCTAGTTTAAATGATAACCATTTTAGACTGTGAGTGCCTCTCAGAACATGAATCTCAGAAGACCCATCAAGTCTTTTTTTCATAAGCCAATTAAATATAGCTTCCATATATGAAATTCCTAATGCAAGAGAATTCAACAAGCACCAAGTGTGGTAAGAATTTTCAGCAAACACCATTTACTATAAGTAGGATATTATCCGTGGAGGTCTATAGGAGCAATATACGTCTTTTATCCTTTACTTATACATACAAAATTATATTTATTTGTTTGGTTTTCCGGAGCACAAAGAGAATTTAGGTCATATTGCGTCGAAACAGGGAAGATGACATAGACTACAGTTTTTCAATCCCATTTTAAGTCGCTTTTTACAATCATGAAGGAATAAATGGTGGCTGCAATTCTGATGGCTCTAACATCAATGGCAACCTCTCAGAAATTAAATTTACAATAACTTGCAAAACATGAAAATTGTTAATTATAAACTCAAGTCTGCTTGCAGCAACGGAAATACCCATGTGATCTGTACAGATCATGCACCGATGTGCTGACTGACCATGGTCTGAACTGTTTGCTATTCAGTCATTTCTTATTTTAAAAAAAAATCCTTAAAATGATGAAACATTATGTCCAGAATGAACAAGAGCTGTCACCCAAGTGACAAATACCCCCGAAAAGGTTTCTTTACATGCAGGTTTTATGAAAAGAAAAGAGAATGAAAGTAACTTATTGCTGAATTAATTGTTCTTTGTATTATTGTACCTGTAATCTCTAATTGTGATAGCGTGAACCTTCAAAATATAAGTGTGACCTTGACCTTTGAAGAAGGGACGTGGTTCCTGGACGTGACAAAATGTTGTTATGTGATAGACATTTGTGCCAAGTTATTTCAAAATCCCTCAATGCATGACAAAGTTACAGTCTGGACATGATTGTTGTGGAAGTGGGGACACATGTACGGACAGATGGACATGAGCCTTAGCCGTGACACATTGTGTTGATGTGGTAGACATTTGTGCCTAGTTAATAGTTATTTTAAAATCATTTGATGCATGACAAAGTTATAGTCCAGACAAGAATGTGTGTACCTTTTAACTCTAATTGCGATAATGTGAAACTCAAAATGATAGTGTGACCTTGACCTTTAAGGTAGGGACGGGGTTCTTGGACACAACACATTGTCTTGATGTGGTAGACATTTTCAAAATCCCTCAATGTATGACTAAGTTACAGTCTGGACACATGAATGAAGTCGGGACGCACAGACGGACACTGATCAGGCCGAAATGGAATAAGGGGCCATTTCTTTTGTTATTTTCTTTTGTTTAATAGAGGGCCATTTATAGAGGGCCAATGGCCCTTTACTTTATTGTTACAGAATGAACTCTATTGTTCTCTTTTGTTCTGTTTACAGTTAGATGGCCCCCTATCCCTATTCGGTAGTGCTGACAGACGGAGGGACAGACAGACGGACCTTGAAATATAATAATTTGGGGGCATAACAATGTCCATTTAAGATATTAAGCATGGTATGGGTAATGTAATATGCACTAATCCAAAAAAATAACAATTTTCATTTTTTCTATGAAGACTAAAAACTTTTCATGTCCAGAGCAAAAATTGATTGCTAATTAAAAAGTTGTCTCAAAATACATCAATGAAATTCTAGCAGAATTTTTTTTTTCTTGCCATGAATATATGACTAAGAAAAGTAAAGAATTGAGACTTACACAAAGCAGTGTGGATGCCAGACCTCCCCATTAGAGTTAACTATTTGCTGGTGTTGTCCGAAACCCTCCCCACATCGACAACACACTCCGATGCCATTTGACATGTCAGAACTGAAAATATATAAAATGCATATCCTGTTTATAAAATTCAAGTTAAAAAATACTATCTCATGGTCTTTACCTACTATGGGCAAATGCTGAAAAAGAGATATGTAACAGAAAAAGTAACAGAAGTTTTTGTTTTTCTGTTTTTTGTTTCTGTTGGGTTTAATGTTGCACCCACACAGTATAGGTCATATGGCAAACTTTTCAAGTTTAATATGGGAGGATGACCTCAGGTGCCCCTCCTCATATATTTTCAGGCACAAACAGGAACCTGAGTAGAACATCCGCTGTTCTGTAAGCTAGCTGGATATCTTGTGGGGCTTAAACCTACAGTGGTAAGAGGCAAATGATTTAAAATTAAGGACCTTAACAACTCCGACACAGACTCCCTTCTACCATAGTTAAAAATGAATTAGAAAAAGCTAAAAACAGCAATATATCAACAGAAATAACTGCAGTTCTTTGAACTAATCTTCTCTCAAAGCTAAAACAATGAATTCGTCGGATTAGTTTGTATATCTATACTCAATGAATTTATACCTTACTTTACCAAAAATTAATGAATCACTTAGTAACTCAAAATAATGGATATTAACTTTCAAAATCATTTTCAAAGGACATTTAATTAGTAAAGTTCATTTCATTTGTGTATGCACGCCATGAAAACATGTAAAACTGCTGAGATCACTGTTTCTGTCATATACATATATAATACCTACATTACAACATGTTACTGTCAGCAACATAAAAGAAAAGGACACGCGTAAATAACCTTTCCTATAAATAGTTCAACACCTTTATTAGGACTGTCAATAAAAATCCAGATATGAATATTTAACAATCTATATAATAGTGATTAACTAATAACAATATTGATACAATTTAAAACCCATTTCTTCATCTCTGGTGAAAATATCACTCTACTTTATGTTAAAGGAAAAAGTAATTTTTCTTCATTTTGCATTTTTGTATACTGTGTTTCTGATTTATAAAACATGCTTGCATATACAATGATAACAGTTTCTAAGACATATTCAGATTAAGTACAAGCTATTGAATTTGATATATTGCCAATATAATTCAGCTTTCAATATATCAATACAAAATATTCCATCGGCCTTCACTTTCTTAAAATGGCATTTTATATTCCCAATTTACATAGATGTTGAAAAATTCTTACTTTACTTCAACATTTATATTCTTAAAACATAATGCTAGCTGCATCTTTAAGGTAGGAATATTGAAACTTTGACCAAACTAGGTCAAGGTCATTTATACAGCCACTTTCAACCTTCCTGCCAGGCCAAAAAGACCAGTATGGTATCAGTGCAAAGTCACTGCATTGATGTTTATTCACAAGTTAACTCAACCAAGTGATAAATATCAACAAGGAGATAAAAAATCATCAACATTGAAGCTCACAACTGGTTCATAGACAGTAAATTATTTTATATTGGTAAAAATGTGAATTTTTTTTTTTTGGAAATGCTAAATAAAGCAAAAGTTAGATATATATAATTATGTTATGTGGACTGTGTTAAATGAGCCTGTAACTCCTGAACCAAGAAAGGAAAAGTTTATAACAATTCACCTGATATTGAGTTCAGCGAGCAAAGATTCCTGGCGATTGATTCGGCGTCGCTGAAATAAGTCCGATTGCGTAAACTCGTCCAATGTTTGTAACTTTATCATTTTCATTCATATTACACGATTCACTACTTCCCAAGTCAATAATACAATCAGAAATTTTCTCCTTTATTCACATACAATATACACTGTATAGTATTTTTCTTATCAACTATAGCAAATATTAAGTCCCGCCTCTTGTTCTTTGAAGAAAAAAAATCAAATAAACCACTATTATCACTTGATTACTACAATTTTTTTTTTCAAACAGCACATATTTTCTTATATAATTAATTGAAAGCTATACTGTGTGAATTTAATTCCTTATACAGTAATATTTATTTACGGTTTAAGTTTTGTTTTAAGTTTATCATATGTGGGTTTAGCTACATGTGACTTCAAAAATTGTAAATTCTTAATGAATCAAGATTATTATTTACTCTTAACTTTGACAATTGCTCTCGATCACCCTAAAATATTAGGTATTAAATTAAGCCAAGCCTTGTCATGCCACCAAACCCCTAGTTGACTTACGCAACATGTTTTTCCATAAGCACGGCATTTAGTACGAACAAATTGATTCTGCAATAATTGATCTGCATCACATGCATGGGTCTATGATAATACTAAATGTACTTTTAAAGGAATCATTTAATTATATATAGTACACTGAATAGCATCAAGCTGCTGGTAATATAGAACTTTCCAATATTTCATAATTGATAATTTAAGCTTAACTATCTTCTTTAACTTGCATACACATTTTTTTATCTTTGGATTAAAACTTTAAAGCGCTTGATCATTTCAGACATAGAATATGGTCTTTAATTTTCAATAGCTGTTCTCTGGAACTCACCAAATGTGGATTTTTCTGTGATGAGCTAATTCCCAGGTAAAAACAAACCTATACAGTCATAACTTCACAGTACACAACAGTTTTATGATACATTACGGTAGTCAACTTGCTGGAAGTTAGTTATTAACTACTGTAAAACCAAGAATATTCTTTATTCTGGCGTGTATGCCAACTGAACCTACACAAAACTTAATATAACAATATTTTATTATATAGTCCAATATCATATGCTACATAATGCCCTTATAATTTTCAGAATTACATGTAAAAAAAATGTTCTTTTAATACTTTAATTTTTAATGTCTAAATGTACATTAAATTATAAAGTTATTTGAAAATTTTTAATTACTATCTTTTTCTCTTTTTTTTAAACTTTAATATAATTTTATCTCATAAACATGTATATTATAAGCACATTTCAATCAAACATTGATGCCTTTAATACATAATAATTTTATATATAAACATTTATACTCGCAGTCTTCGCCCACCCCTACTTTAAATCCTTTTAACATAATCTATTTCTATGAATTATAATTAACAATCTTACTATCCTTTATGAAACTGACAATTAGTATCAAACATAGTCCAATGTTCTAAAGGAAACCAGTTCATTACTCATAATTTTAGTATAGTTTCAATTTGAACACAATATTTCCTTTAATGTTTAAATATGTACAATACTGTAAATTAATTTCCTTGAAAAGCAAACTTGCGTAGAATTTGAAGTTTGTTATCAATTTGAACTTTATTTATAATATATTTATGAGTTTAATAGTACAAATTGAACTTAATTTATATAAATATGTTTACAAGTTTTAGAGTACAAATTTTACTTTTAAAGTACCCGAACTGCAATCTTCGTGGTTTAATTTTTTAACAAACACTCGTACATTTTTTCACAGTTTCAATAACAAAAATATATTCAATAGTCACATTTCATGCATATCCTTTCATGTAAATCGATTTCCATGTATCACGTGCATTTAAACATCCAAACATTAACTCCATGAATAAAATAAAACACAATTTAAAGAAAATGTAAAATTTTCTCCCACTTCTTAGCAAAAAAATTCTTATTTCTTTAGTACAACAAAACTATTTCTAAAATGTCCTATCTTGCCTTTATATATAGATAAGTTACAACGTTCTATCCATAAAACTTAAATATTGGCCATATATAGGAGTGTGCATTGTGAGGATCAAGAATATAGTGTATTCCTAAGGCCAAAGAAAAAAATCTGTTTCTGGTGTCCCCACTTCTCGTTTTTTTCCCTAACAGCAGACCCTAGGCTTTTTACATGCCTTACACATTTAAAAAGAAAATCTTTTTTTCATACAATTTTATATAGTTATTTTATGAAAAATATATAATTTAAAAGTACATAAAGAAAAGAAAATCACAACTATCTACGGTCTGGGAGCAGAGAAGCAAACTATTAATTTTTTTGGCCTTATTGTTTTAAACCACAAAACTAAACAAAAGAGTCAATCAGCGTTACATAGATCAATTACTAACAACTAAACTAATAGTTTTAACTATAAAACAATAGTATCTGCACGCACTGCCTTAAATTGGCAAAAAAAAAATATAAAAAAAATTAAATAAAGAAAATAACGCTTCAAAAAAGAATATTCTTTCATATTTTAAACATATTGTTTTTTTTATGTTTTTTTCTTCAAATATTTTTATGACACTGTTCAATGCCATTCCCGGTTTAAGGTTACATAAATGTACATAATTCCTATTTAAGGGTGGGATTTGTGAAGAGTATTTTGAATATTTAATCCTTTGTGTAAAATCTAAGCTTAGAAATATGCCCTGTGCGGGCAGTGAGTTCATGTATATTTTACAATTACAGTATATTTAGTAAACAAATATCAACATTTTTTACTATAATATACTACACTGAAATACGTGATTGTAACATAAAATTGCTCTTTAGAATATTATTTAGTTTTTAAAAAAACAAAATTATATCAAATACATATATAATATAATATATTCATTGGAAAAAAAACTTTAGATCTGATATCTAAGCTATAAATTACATATGTTTAAACATTATATAATTGCCCCCAGCTTGATACAGAATAATGCACAATTTTTCTTGAAATACAGGGGGAAATACTCTTCTAACCTTCAAATATGAAAATAACAAGGGAAACAACCAGTATTAATGTATCCACATTTTAACTTAAGGGATTACCTCCCCTGTATATTTATTTTTTTTAAGAAATAATTGATCATTTTGCTGCTGTTAAATATAAAGCTGCTTAGTATTGAAAAAGCTAACAAAACATAACCCATACTACATCTTGACCCCCGTACATACCCCCAGAAGAAACACAAAAATAATAAAGTATACAAACCTTGGTCCATTTGGAATAGGGAACCCTGGTAATGGAGCCCCAGGCTGACCAGCCCCATGCTCATGAATGTCACCCAATGGTGGGTTTTCATTCTCATGAGGGTGCAACCTACGCCTCTGAAACAGTGTACTTTCATTACGTTCACTGAGGGATTGCAACCTCATGGGATTAGGCGGTCTCGGAGTTGATGTTATAGACATGACTGTAATGTTTTAATATCCTTCAAATTCTGCTTTCCTTGGAATTACAGTAATACTATATACTAAGGTTATTTTTCAACACTTTTTTCTTTCAGAATTGGTCACTAATATTCTTGTAAAATCTGTAGGTCTATACGTTCTTTTATAATCTGCCACTAAATTTTTTGGTCAAAATTTCTCCACACGATTCTTACAAACTGTTCTTCAATTCAACCTTTCCTTTCAATAGTACTATTTATCCATGCAAAATTCTGAACAAAATTATATTCCCTGTTTATTCTTTCATGTATATATTCAATGTAAACTAAATCCTTTTCCAGCATTTAATCCTTCTAAATGGCAAAGTCAAAATATTCACATTATTCACCTAAAAAATAATTAAATTTCCTTCAAGCAATCTTATGAATTTTTCACAAACCTATGAAAAATTATTCCCCAAATGAAACAAAAAAACACCAAAAAGATAAATAAAACACCAAAATGTCCACCAAACATCTATATCATATAAACTTCCAATTTGCAACAATTTGAAATGCTATACATCAACTGTAAACAATAAATTGTTGACTTGATAAATAATGTCAACACAATTTATCTAGCCAAGTTTTAGTAACACCTATCAGCAGAGGGTTATTTTACTTGTAAAAGTCCAATCACTATCAACATAACCACAAATTCATTCTGATAAATACACTCTGATTAAAAGTTAATCCATTTATAGTTACAAAATTCCCTTTTTAATCAGTTTACAACTGGACATAATGAAACCACAGAGTCATTCTGCAAGTAATAACTGTAAACCTATTTAACTTATGTACAATTACGGAAAAACTATTTTTTTTATTGAGACCCTTCATTAATACTTAGGTCTGGGGTAATTAGCCTTATGAAAATCATAGAAAATCTTTGTACCAGAATAAGGCAATAATAACTTCTCATAATTTCCAAACAATTGTAAGAAATGTCATTTTTAATTATAAAATTCCATATATTTCAGCAAAAAAACCCCATAAAACCTAAACTACTAAGTATTTATACATGCCACTATGAATTTCATCAGAACACCTAAAGCACCATTATTACAACATATTTTAATGAAACATAATAATTCTCAACAGGATGTGAAGCATGCAACAGGCTGCATCAAATAATCGACAAAAACATGAAACCTAACACTGCAGCTACAGAGCCTATATCATTGACAATGTCCTGATGTGACACATGTATAAACTTTATCAGGTAAAATTAAACCAGAATGCAAAATGTTCTACTGAAACACAAAAACAGACACTGGTAATATTTATAACAGGCCCCATAACAATTTCTAGGAAAGAAAAATATTTAAAGATACACAGAAATGAATAACATTTTCCAACATTTTTTTCTAAGTTTCATTAACCAGTACTGTACTGTTCTCTCAGATTTATCACTTAATATCCTTTTCAAGTATAACCAGTATTCATAGCATAAAGAGCTAACTCATATATAACCAGATTGTTATAAACCATTATCTCTAAGAATTACTTGTTATACCACAATACTTATAATTTTAAACCATTTACTCAGTAAACCCATTACTATAGCTCATAACCATTTACTCCATAAATCCTAACCAGTAACAGAGTAAAATTTCTTAAATTTCATGAGCAATTCACTGTCATACTGAGTTTATAACAATACAATTATGTTTATTTTGGAAATGTTTCAAAGGGCAATAACTCCTTGCAAAGATTTCAACACTTATTAAATCAACAAAATTTGGGATGTTTTTTTTTTATATTGTAGGAGTAAACTCAGTCTCACATTCTCACCTTAAACAAATTTTCATTATTTTCAATCCATTAAAAAAATTAATATGTATCAGAATAGAAGTTAAATTATTTTACCAGATCTGTGAAAAGGTACCTTTAAGAGCTAATTTACTAACTTAAAATCAGTACATTATGATTAAGTACCTTTAAATTAAGGAATTTTTAAACTTTAGTATGATATTATCAATTACTACATTAATTTTTATCAAGATGACATTCTGAACAGTCAGTATTGATGACTCATTTCTCACATAATTAAAATATTTAATAGATAAAACGATCACGACCCCGAAAAGAATTTTTACAAAACAAACCGACTTTATGTCCTATGACCTCGAAAAATAGGGCAAAGAATATGGTGCGTAAATACACTCTATCATCCTATTATGGGAGATATATTATATTGTCAAAATAATATAGCAAGCGCCTTTAATCCGATATGATCATATTTAAAGATACTATGTCAGATTTCAAACCCAGATTAAATTTCCTTTTGAAAAACAAAATGACTCCAAAGAGTTAGAAAAATGACATTTGAAAATCTGAGTATTCAATATGCAAGTCACATGGGGATTAAAAATTTTTATTTTTTTTTTTTCAAGAAAAATATAACCCACGTAAATCTATTTTCATCTCACTATAATAATATCAAATGTATTTTTATTTGTATTTTTGTCATATCTCATTTAAATCTACAGAATTTTAGTCAAGGGACTTTGCCATGCAAACACTTACTCTGCGATATAATTTTTCCCTGTCAGATTTGCAAGTTTACATTTTAACCTTGCAGACTTATATCTTGTGTGCATTTTGGAACTGCCCAATGGTAAACCTACAGAATTTTCAAGATTGAAATTTACTGATTATCTTACAAAGAATGATTGCCTAGCTTTTAATAAAATCTAAGTGGCATACACTCGGTATTGTTGTCATAAATGTTCAGAGGGGTTAAGAACTATAAGAGAATGTTTAAATATTGTAACACTACAATTAATTCTATATAAAATTACTACACTATAAGTTACAACATATGTATGTTATTTTGACATTTGTTTAATTATGTATACTACAGTAATAAAAATATTTTATGTATTTACACGTATTTACCCAGCCTGTTAGAAGAACATAATAACCCATTGACTGGTATATATCTGGCTGGTACCCGGTACAATATATATCTGACTGTTACATTCTTTTTTTTCTTTTTTTTTGTTGTTGAATGTTCGTTCACCTTTCTTTCTTATTTTAAACAAATGGTACAAATATTTATTACATTACGCTTAGAAGAACATACTGAAGATGCTAACAAAATGAAATTTTTCACTCTGAAAGTTTACTATTATTTGGGGCGTTTGTTTCATGGTAGATATATTTAGGGTTATATGAATTCTGCATTTTTGACTCTAAAAGTTGACAGTTTGCTGAAAGTGTTCCTTTGATGGTGGATTTATTCAGAGTTTTACAGTACAACGATTTCTGCTCAACTTTGAAAATATGTCCGAATTAGAAATGCTAGTGATTTTAGTTATGCACATATTTTCCATCGGTCAGGTAGCTCGATCTCCATTTAATTGACATATTTGAATCGTATATGACATCAATAAATTATGTACATGTAGAATGATGATTTATTATACTCATTAAATTGATCAACTTATAAATATTTGTCACTGATACAGACTTATTCAATGAGCAAAGAAGAGAAGTTAGTGCTAAACTAGAAATGTGTCCCCACACGCCACTGTTCTGTCAATCTTATGACTCTAGGTCAAATATTTTTTGGACTACATGTGCCACAAGTTGAAAACTAAAAATCTTTTACTAAGTAATTTTAGGGCAAGAACTTTACAAATACTGAATAAATCCACAAGCAAACCCCAAGGTGCATAAGTACACCTGCTGATAACATTCTTGTAAACTTTCAGGTCTACAAGTCAAACACTTTTTGAGCTATGCATGAACAAGTTGAAAATTGCAAATTTGCTGTAAGTCAAGGGCAATAACTCTAACAAAACTGGAAAAAATCTTCAAAGTCCCAGGTGCATAGCTTCACAGTGATGTTGATCATTATTCCTGTAAAGTTGGTTGATTCTAACTCAAGCACTCAAGGAACATTAATAACACAACATAATAAAACGGTTTTTACTAAGTCAAGGGCAATAACTCTAAAAATACACATGATAATTCCACAAGTGAAACCCAAGGTGCACAACTACACATGCTGATCAAAATTCCTGTAAAGTTTTATGACTCTAGGTCAAATCCTTTTTGAGTAACATGCGACACAAGTTAAAAATTGCAAAATTTTATTAAGTCAAGGGCAATAACTCTATAAAAATACTAAATAAATCCACATGAAAATACCCAGGTGCACAACTACACATGCTGATCAACATTCCTGTAAAGTTTCATGACTCTAGGTCAAATCCATTTTGAGTTACATGCGACACAAGTTAAAAATTGCAAAATTTTATTAAGTCAAGGGCAATAACTCTATAAAAATACTAAATAAATCCACATGAAAATACCCAGGTGCACAACTACACATGCTGATCAACATTCCTGTAAAGTTTCATGACTCTAGGTCAAATCCATTTTGAGTTACATGCGACACAAGTTGAAAATTGCAAATTTTTACTAAGTCAAGGGCAACAACTCTAAAAATACTTAATAAATCTACACGAAAATACCCAGGTGCACAACTGCACATGCTGATCAACATTCCTGTTAAGTTTCATGACTCTAGGTCAAATACTTTTTGAGTTATGTGCAACACAAAAGAGAAAGAACAGACAAGGGTAAATCTAAATGCCCCCCCCCCCCCCCCAATATATGCTTCATGCAAGTACAAAACTGAATAACCACCAAAATTTTCTGCTTTACAAATTTCATGGTCTGTCTAAGTTTTTTGTAACATTACCTACACTAAGTGAGACAGTAAAGTCATTGTTACTATTGAACAATAAACAGCCGTGCATGAAACACCACCATAATAAAGTCATCTTTTATAGACAAAAATAAAATAAAATACTACAGTCTTCACTCTTTCTTCAAAACTCATTTCACATATTACTTTTTCAACTTCGACTCTGAACCATTTCATATCAAAAACTCATTTCATATAACATTTCCATTCAACAGCTAACCTTGTACTTACATAACTTTACCTTTGAAAAGTATAATTAATTTTCGATTAAACAATTCGTTATAATATGAAATGTATACAAATTAACATAATTTCTCTATGTCAGTGCAGATAGAACAGTTAGAAGTGTATGACTGTCAACGTCACTTCTACAGACAATAAAATACTTCATAATTTTACAGCCATGTCACAACAATCTGGTTTAAGACTGACATAAATAATAATAAAGATTATGCAAACATGAATTTATTCCAAAAAATTCATCCACGTCCTATAATTTTATAAATCTTGCTTTATTATTTGGCTGAAGTGTAGACACAGATTTTCATCAGATTTTCCTGTCTAAAAATAG